TGGAAGCACTGTCTGACGCGTCTGTCTCCGCGACCCGAAAGGAGAAGCGGCGATGGAAGATGAAGATGAACATTTCCGGAACAAGAATGTTTACTTGAAGAGTCAGCGACGTCGTAAGGTATGGCCCACGTATAAACGATTAGAACCCATCCATAGCTCAGCTGACCTGCCTGTGGTAACTTCTAGCTGACCTGCACGTTCTGACAGTTTATCTGCTTCATCTGAACAAACAACTAATTAACGCACACTAGTTCTAGTTCCTTCCTGTGCCTAATGAAAGTCCTATATAGGTTATTGAGCTTCATGCAAAAATCAACGAAGGTCTTTTCGAATCCAAAATTCCAATGCCAAATTCATTGCCGCAGATGTAATCAATTTATTTCACTAACAGTCCTGAGAGACGAGCAATCTCACAAGCCGGGAATGTACGCTGGACGTGGATTTAGGGTTATGAGCGAGTTACGCAGCAGGTTTAGTATTTTGGCTACGCGAAGAGGCGTGTGTCTAAGAGGCCTGCTTCGAACTTCAGGGGTACCGCGTTCGATTTGGCTGAAGGGCTATCTGTGACCTGTTTACGAATTCCCCTAAACAATGCATTCACCACTGGTTGATCATTCGGTGCCTCGTCAAACCCAGAATTTAAAGTTTGCAGGTCACTCGCCTGTCTTCATTTTATTGTTGATAAATGAGTACCTCCCTACGGCAAAGAGATTACACTATGCTAAGCACGACTGTAGACCCTACCCTTAAAGTAAGGGGTATCGGTGGCTGTTGAGAAAGAAATAGAGATCAGTACCACATCATCAACTTCACGAAATGAAGGGGCAAGGATGGCTCCCTCACGTAACTGTAAGCAACACCGCTATTCCAACTGTTACACACTCTTTGTCATTCCATTTGTGACACACTAAAAGACGAAGCTATTATAAGTTCACCACTCAAGACTAATAATTATGACGGTAATTTAGCTTAAGCTGAAAGAACAGAGTAATGACTTGAAACCGCTTAATCGTACTGTTTTTGTCTACACGGGTGCACAGCTCCCCACCCCGCCATCTCGCATCTTCCACCATAAATACAACTAGTGGGTGATTAATGCATACATTTTCACTACCAATTAATGATAACAAATTGGACGTTCTGCTTTAATGAAAACCGTTTTGAAAATAACATGTCGTCAGCCAAAAAATCATCCGCAATTACAATTCACTGTGATTACTCATTTAGAAGTTCCATTCCAATAAACAGTTAAGAACTAATAAATTAAAATACCTTATGAGGTTGGACGGCTTCCGGGACCATGCTAATCATTCCGCGATAAATGAAGAACTCATCCATCAGTGGCTCGAGATCTTTCTTCGGCTGAGCTTCGTACATTTGTCCAATGTTGTCGTAGATTTCGGCTGTGAATCGCAGCGCCTCCGACAGCCGTTCCAACTGCGCCTCTGGATCTAAGTCGAGGGACTGTCCCAAAGAACGAAATGCAGAGGCCAGCTTTCGGCATTCACGTCTATATGTACGAAAATTCATTTGTACGCTTATGTGACAGCACGCTTCAAACTAATCATTTATCCATAATTAACACGAATAATCAACAGTTATTGAAAGAGTTAAGCTCCAGAAATCCAACTAATCGTACACTACCAATTCTCTGTTCATACCACACATGAAATATTTCATCTGCATGCGCAGAAGAGCAACTCCGCCGTTGCCGGCCCAAGACCGGGTGAGAAAGTTAGGCAATTGCCTCTCAAGGTATTGCTGCCATCGAAGATTACACCGGCTCGGTTGTAGCCGAATTACCGAAAGCAGTACAGGTCGCTGAAAGACTGAGGTAGGCTGCGAAAACTCGAAGGTCAGAACCTGTTCCTTAACTTCTGGCAGTCGGGAGCTTAAAGAACAACGGCTGCCGAAGATCGACAAAAAGACGACGAAAATACGTCAGCAACAGAGCTGCCCTCCGTTTTCAACAGAAGAGGCAGACGGCACAAGGACATTAGAGCACGTCAGATGAAACTCCATGGGAACGACACCAACAGTGACAGCTTACAGTCGGAAATTGGAATAAATCTTCACTCAGAGATAGATAGCGGGAGCTACTTGATGAGGCCATCAAGACTCGACTGGACATATGGTCAACATGGACGTATCGTCAAGGAAGCGGCAAAACTGAAAATCTGAACCTCTGAGGGTTAAAGGAATTCTACTCAGGTTTCGTACATCAGTACGAACGCCCAGGCCGGCGTTAGTGATCCAGTAGAACACAACCTGGTTGACAGACAGCATCATTGAATGGAAGCCTGTTAGCGAAAGAGTGGCAGTCCTCCGATTGAATCAATGATCTTGTTACAGGACTAGGTACCCAAACAGGACAAATAATGAGATGTTCCTTGAAAAAATGGAAGGTGCTCTGTACGAAGCATCAACTATAGAAACCGTTATTTCAATGAGCGATTTTAATGTACATGTCAGAGCAGTAAATGAAAAGTGGTAAAGCGTGATTGGCAAGAACCTCAACAATAATGGCATGAAGTTGCTGCGGTTTTGTGCAAACAACGGATTGTCCACTATGAACACCTTCGAGTATCGAAGCGTACGTCAGTATACTTGGTACAAGAAACCTTGTGCACATAAGTCGATAATGGATTTGATAATCGTGTCCTCTGACTTACGAAGCTGTGTAATAAGTGGTTATCACATTTTGTTCGCACCCTCATCTGCAAACGACGGAGTATCATGTGAAGACTTGGCAGATTAAGCAACAATATAATCAGAGGGAAAAACGTTATCCTGCGCCGATACGAAGGCGAAATTGCAAACAACATTCCATGACGGTCTGAGAAGACCGAGTGATGACGGCTGGCCTGGAAACCAGAGGGACGCTGCTTACGAGTGGCTTAGTCGGGGCTGTAGCGGGATGTTGTGGTTTACAGTGAGTTAGCCCTCCGCGTGAGGATTAGAAACAAACTTCCTGGAGGACACCAGAGGTACAACCGGCAGTCAGTGAGAAGGCTTCATTCAAAAGATGCCTTGAAAGCAAATGGCTTACAACTCGCATGGAGTATGAAGAAATTCTCAAGGGGGTAGCGAAAGCAATGCCCAAAGCGACAGCTGATTCCTGAGAAAACTTCATTGAGATGTTGAGTCGAGAAGGTATTCTGGCAGTCTTCGATGTGAAAAGAAGGACAGTCGGTCTTCTAACGGTCTTGAAGGACAGGAGAGGGAGGACATTCTTCGGTGACAGAGAGAGTACTATGAGCAACCGCATGAAGATTCGCCTATAGAGCACCAGGCAACGGATATTACTACCTCTCTATATGAAATCGTAGAAGCTGTGAAAAGCTTGAAAAATGGAAAGGCTGCTGGAATTGATGAAAGCCGCCCTGAAATGCTCAAGGCATTAGGCGAAGGT